ATATAATTTGTATTTGGCCACGACTAGATTCTGTCTTTTCGAGCAAAAGTAATACTACAGCAAATAAATTGGCAAATGCTGAAAATGAAGAGCTTAATTTTTATCCAGAAATCGCTCAGTGTGGGCCCACTGTCATCCCATCCTGCATTTTAAGCCCCCTGTTTTCTTGGCCCTGGGTTGTCTGTGACAACAAGGAGACACATATTTATTTTCTTGTCCCATTTAAAAACTTTATTTATTGACGCTGATAGGAATCTAGTCAGCTATCTGTGCGTTTTAGCTGCACCCCCTCCCTCCCGTTTCCCCATGACCACGCCCCCTCCGCCCCCAATTGGGGGCAGGCCTTATACCTGATTCTAAATTTTGTACTTATATTTTTTTTGTTTTGCTTTGTTTTGTTGCTCGTTTCTTTTGCATGTTTGCAGCTCGAGCAATAAAATCAAAGACCAACTACAGAGCCAAACACTTTGTAAAAGACAATCAAAAGCCCAAAGATAAACACTGGCCGAAAAAGTGACCACAAAGCCCGAGATCGGAGGATGAACTGGATGGAGGAAAATGGGATGCAGGCGTGTGAATCTACAAATCCTCGATGAGTGAGTGGCATCGGCAAAGGAGCTCACATTCATTGATGTCACCAATAAAGTGAAAGAGTGTCCGAACACAAATAAATACGAGTACAGCAAACAAAGGACACTGCAAGAAAAACTTTGCGAATGAAAGCTAACAAAGGTAGCTGAAATTGTGGCTACAGAATTTGGAACTGACTAGAATGGAGACTTACTATATTAATCTAAGTTAATTATCAATAGTACTAAAATACATTTTATCCATTATCTGATAAATCTACACATTCAATTCCAAATCTTGGTTGCATATACATTTTTAAATCTTATAATGTTATAATGGTTTTGTTCACAAAAAATTGTTTTTAATCAAAATCGAATGTTTCGAAACTGTTTTTGCCTAAATTCTAATGTCTACTTATTATTAATGTTTTTATTAAAATTTACGTTTTTTAAATGGGGGATACATATATGTATTACAATCTATTTTACCTGCCATTTTAAAGAACTCCATCAATTCTAAATTGACTTACCTGTTTCGCATGGTGCATGACCTGGGGAATAGTAGATCTGGATATTGCCCAGCTGGTGGGGATTGTAGAGCCGTCATAATCTAAAAATCTTGCCGCCGGCCGGCCTGGCAAACAAACAAACAAACCCGCAAACGGACCAACGAAAAGCCGTTTGGACTTTGCGCCCCATTCGAGAGCACAAATGACAAAAGGCCGGACGGTCCTGGACCGCAGCTCCACCCCCTCACCCCCTCCCCGTCGACCGCCCACCCTCTGAAAACTCGGGGAAAATGACAATGCAATTTTCATTACGCACTTGCCAATATTAAGCCAAAGTTTAGCACTGTCTGGCCGCCCACCCATACAAACAAACCGAGCGGGACAAAAACACAAAGGAACACTAAAAAAAGAATTGATTGCTATTTTTTATATGTTAGAAAATAACCTTTTTTGAAAAAAATAATAGACAACGTTTATAAAGGTTTAAGACACAACAAAAATAAATTAAAAACAATGGTTTTATTTTAGTATTTAGTACAGCAATTCTAGAAATAACCTAAAACAAAATGTCAACATGACTTAAAACTTAGAAAATATGAGCTACAAATTAAGCCAAACCCATAAATTTCAAATATAACATAAGAATTGAGTCTAGCTAACTTTATAACTTTATAATTTATAGGTTTTTTTCATTTTTATTTTGAGGGTAGTGGGAATTTTTCCAAATTCCAAATTCGCGCAGTGTATCCACACACACATCAACGTCATGTTGTGGTCGTGGGCTTTGTGGTTGTTGCTGCCACGCCTACTGCCAAGGTAATAAAGCAAAAGTTCTGATCCAGCTCCAGTCCCCCATTTTCCCCTTTGGCTCCTCCGATTCGGATTCTCACCAAGGAGCCGATAAGCCGCCGTCCAGAAGCAGTTTTGGGTGGATGTGGATGTGGATGTGAAGGAAGATGTGGATGTGGATGTGGATGCAGACGTGGAAATGGAAGTGGATCCGCATCAACAAAGGAAGCGGAAATGAGCCGGCCAGATGTCTTTACTTGCACGTGTGAGGGCGTAGGCGTTCCGTTTGTATAGTCACTCTGGGGACTCAAAAGTAAGCACACTTCTAATCACTGGTTGTTACTTAATAGATTGGCATAAAATAAACTCTATGTTAAGATAGATTTTAAGTAAAATGGACTGTGGATCTTGCTTAATGTAGGTACTTCAGTCATCTAGTACCCTTTTATCCTTAACAGGCTTAGATTTTATAGTTAGTTATAAGAACCTTTTTGTAAGATATAGTTAAAAGTATTTAGTTTCAGGATAAATTGGATTTTTAAATAAAAAACTTTCGATCCTACAATATTATTAATTTGTTCAGATTTATGATGGTTTCAATATTAATTTGTAAGTAATTTCAAAGAATACTTCCAACGTAAGTTAGTGTTATCTTTTGAAGATCGGTATTAGTTTTTGAAAAATAGTTTGTTTTTTGTTTTTGTACAATCCTAAAACAACTAATTACTTTTTTTAACCCCCAAAAAACTTAAAACAAATGCAATGAATTTTGATAAAAGTCTTAAAGCGATTAAAAATGTATGTGCTTTACTTTATTCCAAACCGATTAAGCCAAAGCCCATAATGCAGCGCACTCGTGGGAAATCGGATAATTAAGGCATATTCCGATACGGTTTCGACCGCTGCCACGCCCATACGCCCACCCGACCACACATGCCCCATCCAAGCTAATTATACGCGCCTCCAAATAAAAACAAACAAAAGCGCGTGGTCGCTTATAATGATTATTAAGCCAAGGGAGCTGGAAGTGAAATGCTTATCAGAAAGGTGCAGGCAAAATGCAGAAAATATTGGAGTAGGCGCCGATTTGAGGGGGGATATAGAGGGGATATCGGGGATATCGGTGAATATATAGGGGGCGGAGGAGCCATAATGAAGCCATCGTCATCGGCATGACCAGCCGCTCGTAATTACGCGGCCCTCTTCGAAAACTGATGATTTTCATTAACGACAAGTTAATAACTTAGCCAACGCGAGAACGAGAGTTGGAGCTTGAGATTCGAGGCGTCTTTATTATCGATAGCCATCGAAAGGTAAACACAAGGCGAAAACACTTGGCAGCGGAAGATGGGGCAGAAAGAAATATATGTCTCCTCTTTGGCCTTAGCCGAAGTTCATCTCAAGCTCAAATATATTATTTCGCATCTGTGTTACTCGATACCTATATATTTTTAAGCAGAGTTTTTCTTTTTAATTTTGCTATGATTTTTGTAACTATTTTTATCAATCAACTCCGAAAGAAACTTTATTAATCAACTCCAAAAGAAACTATATCAACTTACAAAACAAGTTTTTCTGTAATGATTGTCCAAGACTACTAAATTTTTTAAAATCATTTAACCATTGAACTATTAAAATAAAAAACGAAGAACATACATAATACAAGTTTAATTCTATAAATTCATGGGCAAGATTTTACAAAATGAAAAAAAGTAAGAAGCAAATCAGATAGATTGTTTGTGGTTTTAGAAATTTTATATTTATAGAGTAATGCTTTTGAGATAGAAGGAAAAATTACTTATAATTATTTTGTTGGACATTTGAGAAAAGATTGTTTATTGATTTTATTAAATTTAATTTTTAAATTTGTATGGTTTTAAGGCAGCAAGTAACATTATTTAATTAAGGCATAAAATGTGAAAAGAGAAGAGCGTTTTTCATATTGAAAAATTAAGTTTTTGTGACATAATGTTTTTGGATTAAGTTTTTCAAGTTTAATGTTTTTGGATGGAATTTAAAATAATCTTACTGTTGCCTTAAAAGAACTGATCTGTGCGGAAAGAGGACAAAATGTTTTGATTTGCAGTGTGGCCCCGTTTGTGCGGCCAAAGTCAACAAGTCGACAACAAACAACAACAAACGGCAGCAAACAGTGGCTATTTAGCAACAAAATGTTTCGCCGAGTGGCAATAAAAATACAAAAAAAAAAGTGCAGCGCCAGCAAAGCAACAAATGTTGCAGCAACTGCGCAACTCGCAAAAGGGAGAGAGAGAGAGGAGTTTTAACAGCGACTGATTTTAACAGAAAGAGAGAGACATTCTAAGTAACATATTAACATTGCCCGCTCTTCCAACAGCATCCGGCGGCATTTGTGGCCCAGCAACACAACACAATAGCAACACAGCAACATGTTGCGCGGGCGGCGATCGAAGCCGACCAGTGCAGCCCCTTTAGCAATTTACCTGCCAGATCTGGCAGAATTATCGTGATGCCGGGCTGCAAGATGAGGACTTCAAGCAATAGATTCATAAGGATGGTACGTTCTGCAAATCCGCTATAGACATACAGCTTTTTGGCATACACATACTACACATACATAAAAAAAAGTTTCCATAACTATGCTCTACCTTATGAGTTCATGAATTACTGGCAATAACGAATAATAAAGCGTTATAAGTAATCGTTAATTAATAAAATTGTTAAAGGTATTACATAATGTATATGTATATTTAATGTATTTTCAATTTAATAACAAATTGTAATAACAAATACTTGTTCAAGCTAGATAATTCATGTTCCTTTTAAAATTTAACATTTTTCTTAAAAATACAAACATTTGGTTAATTGTTTAAGCTACATAATTTACGTTCCTTTTTTATGTAAGTATTTTATATTCTTTCTATTCAAATATTATTTTAAATTAAAACTTTAAGGGCTTTATTTATTATTTTTGGGCAGTTTAAAACGTTTCCAACGTTTTTTCTTTATTTAGCAATTCTTGGTCCGGAGATGCTGGCAGCACTGCAGCGCACAAACAAAAACAAGCGCACACACACAGCACACACGCACGTGCGGAAAAACGAGCGGCGAACGAAGACGAATCGCAGCGACCGAAAACAGTCGACTGTGGACAAGCAGCCCGACTTGACGTAACGCAAACGAACCGAACGCCGCCGAGCGACGCGATTTCCACGCAGCGATTTGGGACGCGCTTCAAAACGCCTGCGCAAACGGCTGCAAAAGCGGCGAATTTCGAATTTTTTAAAAGTGTTTTGAGTAATTTCTAAAACTATTTTTTTGAGTGACTCTTGAAAATTGATTTATTTTTGAAACTATTAAAAAACCCTGGAGTTTTTCAATAATTTGTGTTAAAAAGTGAAGTTTTGAAAACTATTGAACGTCCTTTAAATTGCGAACTTTCGTGTAAAAGTCTCTTTTGATTTCTGAAACTACAAAACAGTTTTGAATTTGCATTTTGGATTTCTAAGACTACAAAACACTTTTCAACATTGATTTCTGCAAATCGATTTTTTTTGAGTGAATAAAAAGTTACAAATAATTTTTGAAGCTCCTATTGAACTTGGAACTTTAACAAGTGGATTTATTGGATTTTTGAAACACCTCTGAAATAAGTGATTTCCAAAAACGAAGGATTTCGAATTTGTGTGAGTTTGGACCTGCTTCTGCAATCTCTTTCGATTGGTGAAACCCCAGAGCCAAAGCGGTGAAGATGCCTCCCCTGGCCACGATCCTCGGAGGCCTGTTGCTCCTGGGCCTCCTCGGAATCCCGCGAATGGAGGCGATCCCCAACGACGTGTACTTCAAGATGTTCCCGCAGCAGGCGCCACCGGAGGATCCGTGCTACAACAAGGCGCACGAGCCGCGCATGTGCATCCCGGACTTTGTGAACGCCGCCTACGATGCGCCGGTGGTGGCCAGCTCCACGTGCGGCACGGCGGGCGCCCAGCGCTACTGCGAGTTCCAGGAGCGGGAGCGGGACATGGCATGCCACACCTGCGACATGTCCGATCCGCTGCGCAGTTTCCCGTCCCGTTCGCTGACCGACCTGAACAACTCCAACAACGTGACCTGCTGGCGGAGTGAGCCGGTGACGGGGAGCGGGGACAACGTGACCCTGACTTTGTCGCTGGGCAAGCGGTTCGAGCTGACCTACGTCATCCTGCAGCTCTGCCCCCACGCCCCGCGCCCCGACTCCGTGGTGATCTACAAGAGCTCCGACCACGGGCTCAGCTGGCAGCCCTTCCAGTTCTTCAGCTCCCAGTGCCGGCGGCTCTATGGACGTCCCGCCCGCCAGTCGACGGGGCGCCACAACGAACACGAGGCCCGCTGCAGTGACGTCACCCGACCGCTGGCCTCCAGGATCGCCTTCAGCACGCTGGAGGGACGGCCATCGGCCCGCGACCTCGACTCCTCGCCGGTGCTGCAGGATTGGGTCACGGCCACGGACATCCGGGTGGTGTTCCACCGCCTGCAGCGACCCGATCCCCAGGCCCTGCTCTCGCTGGAGGCGGGCGCGGCAGCGGACTTGGCTGGCGGCAAGTACAGTGTACCGCTCGCCAACAGTCCCGCTGGCAATAACATCGAGGCGAATACCGGGGCGGAGACGAGCGCTGCCGGCGGACTACACTACGCCATCTCCGACTTCTCGGTGGGCGGGCGGTGCAAGTGCAACGGCCACGCCTCCAAGTGCTCCACGGACGCCAGTGGGCAGCTGAACTGCGAGTGCCGCCACAATACCGCCGGGCGGGACTGCGAGCGCTGCAAGCCCTTCCACTTCGACCGCCCCTGGGCCAGAGCCTCAGCCCGGGAGACCAACGAGTGCAAAGGTGAGTCACACAACTTTATTTACTTAATATTACTAATATTATTATTATTCATAACCTATATTAATTATATGCCCCTTGGGGATACGGAATAGGATGGGAAGTACGGGCAAATAGAGGGTTATCAAATTCAAGAATGTACCTTTTTACAAATTCGATGGAGTATTCAGGTTTAAATACCTATTTAGTTGGACGTTCATATCATTTTAGCACAAATATATTTTTGAATAAAAATCCCTTGAAAGTAGGGATAAATAATATAAACTTGTTCAGGTTATGCGACATATGTATATTCCAGAACTTTGAAAGTTAATTAAGAATTTTAAAGAGTTTAATTCATGTAATTCTGATTTTGATGAGAGGTGTAAATGTTTAAATTTACTAAGTTATAGTAAAACGAAACAAAGCGACACGCGATTTTTTTATTTCAACCAACAAAGTGTATATAAACACTGTTTAAAGTTAAAAAGAACTCTGCCAATTATCAAGGGCACATTAGTAGCTGAAAATAAATAATTCAGCTCTAGGAAAAGACTATAAATAGAAAATGATTCCATTTCAATCATTTTGCTCTGTTTATTTATTGGTAATGGAGGCAAAGGCACTAAATAAACATTATTCTGGTACAGCTTGTATTTCTTTAAATTTAATCAGCTCCGAAAGATGTTTATAATAATAGGTCATTATTTTGTTTTCTGTTTTTTACGGTGCATAGCAAAATATTAGTCCTATTTGAAAATCCTAAGGTGGGATTGTATTGCTTACGATATAGGAAATTGCACAGTTGAGAAATTCTTGTCGAAACCTAGCCCATTTTCTATTTCACATCTTGAATCCAGCAATTATATTCCCAACACACCTTGGGTAAAATAGAGGATTACCTTCTGTTTTATTGGCCAATATTATTGGGAGGGCTTATGAAAACACTCGAGGGATCTCTTACCTGAGCCACGGCGACTGTTTTACCTAAACTTCTGTTGTGCGGAATATCCCGGTCGGGAGATTTTCCCCGCACACTTCCTACCTAGACCGGAGTCAACATAACTCCCCCAAAAAACATTCCCGAAAAAAGGGAAATTTCGATGCGAAATATTGGCTTCGGGGCGAGTAACCCCCAAGGACTCTTGCGTGGCCATCCAGCTCAATCTGTTGGGCAAACATATCGGAGCACAGAGTTAAGGTACTGGAAACCGGTGGAGAGCAGGGTTGCAAGTGGCAATCCGGAGATATGGAACGGGGGCAGGCGACAACTCCATTAGAATTCAATTTTCGAGCCAGTCGCGTGTGTTTAGTTTTCATCTTAACTTGGGATCGGATCGGGTGGGGGTTGCTCTTTTCCTTGCAGGATAAGAATTCTGGAATAGGAATCCGAAGGAAGACCTGAAGGCATCACTGTTTGTGCTGTGGATTTGGCTTAGCCATAATTGAACAACTCGATGGACACGTGTGGAGGTTTAGGGAGGGGGGTTGCAAGTGTGCGTAGGTGAGTGAGACCAACTCTTGGGCCAACCCTCGTGAAATCGAGACTTTACCTTTGGCCAGGCTAAACAAGCAAACAACAACAACGGCCCAAACATTCACATTCAATCAACACACAATAGATCCCGTGGGCCAGACGGAGAGGGCGATATCCCGAGTCCGGAGTCCGGAATCTGGAATCCGGGATAAACCCTCGCAATTAACCCTCTAAAAACTCGCTGAGCTCGAACAATAAGCGCGAATTTAAGCGAAATTAATTTGATAAGCATTTTCAACAAGAGCGAGCACACAATTCGACAATCGAACATGAAAATGAGAACAGGGAAGTTTTTAGGTTTCCAATTTTGCCGATTCTGATGTTGGTATTTTTACATTAATCGTTAGAACTGACAAAATTATAAGGGTTCTCTATGTCACGATAAAAATGTATGGCAAGAGTGGGAGATTTCCTTTGTTGTTTTCTTTGAAAGGGTATCGAAATTTTTACTCGCATTTTTTTAATAAAAATATGATGTGGTTCACATTATCCAATATGGTATAATGGTTCAATATTTTCGAATTAGTTTTTTTTTCCATTAAATGCTGAACTTGTTCTGTTACCAAGTGAATTGCTTATTTATATATTATTATAAGCGTTTGATATTTAAATGCAGATATCATGACTTGTTATGGTAACTATATAAAATCGATATAAAAGTGCGGGGCTTATATAAAAAATGAACCGAACAAAGCTTTTATTATAGTGACAAATCATTCGCATCATTATTGAATCCAAACTGTTACCTATTTTTCATTAGAGCACTCCACACCATTTCCCGCAAAACACTTGTTCCTCAAAGTTCAGGCATCATTCACAACTTGCAATGTGTGTTCCAGGCACTTGATGAAAGTGTCCTTCGTGGTCATCACGTGCCATAACATTGCAATTTTTTGTGATCCATTTTCGAGGGGGAAAAGAAGAGGGAGGGGGGGTCTGATGGGGAGATGGACATGCAGCCGGGACCTTTTGCTATTGTTTAGTGCATAAATCACAGTCACACCAGGGCGGAATATGTATGGCGGGCAGGCAGACGGTCTTATCAGAGGACGGCACGTGTGCCAGACTCTCCGCCCCGACCCCGACACGCCCTCCCCGCCCTCCACGCCCACCGCCGCCTTTCGGTTTATTAGGGTTGCAAAATGCAACCCCTCACCCCCTTGGAATCCAGCTCAAAGGACCCGCGCATCCACACATACATATGTTGCATGTTTATGGACAAACGAAATTAACGTTGCCATCGCCGCTTTTGACGTTCAATGTGACCTCAAACAACGGCTACAAAAACAACCAACAGGCAGCAATTACAGACCAACAACAACAACAACAATGGAAGGGAAACGGAAAATGTCCAGGCCGGAAAATATTTCCGTTGGGCGGTGTGAAAAGAAAAAACCACAGAAAATTGGGAAAAATGAACATATGCGAGCAGATTGCATTCGAATCGAATCAAACGAAATGGGTATGGAAATCGAATCGAATCGAATGGAATGGAATGGAATGGAAGGGCACTAGATTATATCTCCTAACTAACTGCGAAACGATTTAGCAGGGGTTTTAATGAGGAGGCGGTAACAGCGGGCAATTTGCATGGAATCACCAAATTAGGAGTTTCCCAAGTTCATACAACACATGGAATGATTTACAAAAGGAGACACATGGAATCGGATATTCCCATAAAAATATTAGCATTACAAAACGGCAAAGAAGTCAAATGCCTATATGTATCCATATAAATATATGTACACACGGCTATTCATTTCCTCTTCCTTAAAAATTTCCTATGAATATCAAACAAATCATTTACAATCCATACACAATTATTACACACTTTCGATTATTTGATTATCATTTAATTACATTCTTATTTAATAAGTATAGAACTCATTGGGAAAATTCTCTCTTTTGAAATGCATCATCATTTTGAGCAATAAACAATTTGAAATACATATGTTTCTGATCAAGCATTATGAGATGGTAAACTTTAGAGCGGAAATTGATGTTCTATCTAGCTTTTTTTTGTGGAAATTTTTTATTACACCCCCGGGGTATATTCCCATTCTGCTGACCAAATTTATGGAAATTAAATGGATCAACAAATAATAAAGAAATCTTTCGGCTAAAGAATATCCCATAAATGTGCTGATATTTTAGAGAGCGCATTACGAAAGAATCTTCAGAAATTCGTGATTAATGCACAGATGCAATCCCATTATTTCCCTTCTGCGCCGGAAACCATCCATTCTCAACATTCTTTTACCATAAATTGCCAAACTCCCAACTCGGAGCATAAATTGCGTTAGATTTATAGGTGTCGGGAACAAAGGCGAGCTGCGCACATACATATATTTTTAATGAGTTGAGACGGCAGCCAACTTTGACCCGCACTTAACCCCTCAATCATAAGGCGAATGCAGTTTATCACACCTCCGTCGACACCTCCGACGGACCCAAGATCCGGATTCTGGATTCCGGATTCCGTATTCCGTATTCCGGATTACGGATCGAAATAGTTGGCTTCGGCTGCAATATACGAGCTTGTGCATATATGCACAAGCACATGGGAGTAATAAAGAACAGAAAATAAAGACTCCGACGACGTGAATTTGAACAAAAACAAACAGATCCAAAATGTGGCTAAAATTAACGTCGGCGTTGTTGAGATGGCGTGCAATAAATAAATTTAAATCCGTTAAAACGTTTGGCAAATCAAGACATTACTCATACGCCGTGTTGTTGCCGCACCAGAAATAGTTTCCCCATCCCCCCAATTTTACCCACCATCGCTCTGATGGACGTGTCTAAAATGCTTCGTCGGAGTGGTGATAAATGTGCCGGGGCTTAGGAAAATGCCGCGAAAATTAGCCAAACAATTTGTCCAACCAAAATCGAATGGAATGACTATAGTGGCCAGGGGTGCCCAATGATGATTATGTGTCATCTAGAATTAGTCAAGTGTATCGCAAGGTCACCAGAACGAACTAACTAAATGGCTGCCTATACGAAACCTTCAATTGCTCTGGTTTAAGACTAGGTATTTAAAAGCCAGTTTAGAGGTCAATTTATCGATGTCACGTTTGTGGTTCTAGTTTTTAATCTGCGAAAGAAAGTTAACATGAAGTCAAATGGTTCGGGAACACTAATTCGCTTTCCCAATGTGATGTTTGTTTTTTACAACATATCTTTAATCTTTAAACTCTAACAAGATATAACAGCAAATAACAGCAACTTACGCAATGTCAAATCTTAACACGGCATTGAGAAATCGGCCTTTAAATAGTTAAATTGCTGGTTGAAAGTTAATTATTTGAATATTCTGGTAAATCTCGGTTGGCAGTATTTTTTAAAAATATTAATGAAAAGTTTAATATAATAAAATCAGTCGAACTTTAATGTCCCTAAATACAATTACGTATAAAATTCAAATTTAACTGATTTCAGCAGTTTATTTATTTTCAAAAAAGTATATTTCTTATATTTAAAAGAC